GAGTTCGACACCCCTGCCCTAAAGGTAGACTATGGGTATAAATCTGCTATTTCACACCCTGTTCTCATCAACCTCCACAGTCTGCAGGTGACCTCTCCGCTACAGCGAGCTATGACAACCTCCAAACGTCAATGAAAGGACTACACGAGTCTCGTGTTTAGCTTATTTACGCATCAGAGCTGATTTCACCACAGGCCCAGGCTCCGTCCCTTCGGACTCTCAGCCCGATCCATGTTCTGACATGTACATCGTCAGCCGGAATCGATTTGCCACATCTTTTTAACTCTGGCAGCAGCAGCAACATCGACACGACCAACGTACCGATCTGTTCCACTTCACACGGGCTCCTGTGGTATCGGCGTAATAAATTTCTGCAAACAAACATAACAAGAAACGCTCCTGGAACACAGCGCAGACTTTAAAGATGCAGCAGAGCACACGGAGCAGTGATCGAACGATAGCCAGACCAATTAGTCTTTGCGGGTTTATGATCTGTGCTACCAGCTTTACACCCTCTGCTACCGGTGGAGGAAGCATTCAGATCCCTTGAGCAAAAAAATACAGCAAAACAAAAATACTCAATTACAAGCATGAAAAATCCTACTTAAGTCAACATAAGCTGCAAAATGTAATTAAAGTATTGCATTAAAAGTGCTGGTTTGGTCCCTCTCACTGATATATTATTGGATTATTAATAGCAAAGCATGACATAAATCTGAGAGTTTGCTGGATGATTAATCGGAGGAGAAGGAGGAAAGAGCAGTTTGTCTTTAATCCTTTACTTTTGCTGAGACACTGGATCGCTGGAACATTTATTGAGAAGTTTTTAGGGAAAACTCCCCATTTGGTGGAGATGTTAACAACACAGACATCTGAAATATGAGCTCGACTAAAGACTGCTTGTGAAAGAAGCCAAAAATGGTCGGAAACCACTGATTTAAAGAGTTTGTTATATTATCCGCTGTGTGAAATTAGTATCGTAAACGCTTGGAGAGTACAGCATTTCCCTCTGAGATATAATGGAGTGGAAGGAGAAAGCAGCAGCACATGGAAACACCACCACAAAATGATACTCGTGTTACTTTCCACCACTGCTGCAGTTGAGCGGCATGCCTTCAGGCTCTGTGTCGCTGTTTGACAAGCCAAATTCTGGGGAAAAAAAAACTCAAATAAATAGAAGTGCCACCTTCACAAAAATGAATTAAAATGTTCATTTTCAGCCTCGTAGGTGTTGCTATTGTCTGAGAGCTGCACTGTCATCATTGTGTTCACGGGTCGATATCTGACACATTAGTCACGAGCACGCTGTGATCAAACACCAGGGATCGGCACCATGGGGCCACTTGCAGCAGCTTGTTTGCCATCTGCTGTTTGCCTTGGCATTAAATGGTGCGTATTCACATATAGACTATATTTGTTTTGGTCGGCTCTGTGACTAAAACACACAACCAGAATTGGCTTTTGTTGGCGGCGGCGGCGGCAGAACACATGGTTCGGTGGTCGCCCTCCACTCACCCAGCGGCATGCCGATGCCGTATCCCTTGGTGTCCAGCAGGCCGCCGATCTGCGTGAGGTTGCAGTTGAGGCTGCGGTAGTACTCGTTCATGGTGCTCTCCATCAGGAAGGCGTACTTGGAGTTGAGGACGCGGGCGATGCCTTCCTCGGTGCTCTTCACGAACACGCTGGGCTGCTTGGAGTTCATGTAGTTCCACATCCGCTGGTACGTCTGGTACCGCGAGTTCTGGAGGATGAGGAGGAAAAGAAAAAGGTGAAGGGAACCCTGGAATGAGGCACCACTTAGACCAGGAGTGTCCAATCCTGGTCCTCGAGGGCCACAGTCCTGTGGTTTCTCTCTCTCTGCAGAAGCCTGATAACGATCCTGATCGTCTGAATCAGGTGTGTTGGAAGAGAGAAACATCTAAAACATGCAGGACTGTGGCCCTCGAGGGACCAGGATTGGACACCCCTGACTTAGACAATAACGTGACTTTTCTGGTTGCATTCCTTTTAAAGATGCAGCCAAGAGCCTCTGATCCGATTGTTTGCATCTTGGCATGTTGCACGTGTTTTGCTGTCCAGTTTAGCAGCAGATGCTGTATTTTACTGAATCCTCTGATCCCCAAAACCTGCCAAAGGATTTGGAAGGAATGTTGTCTTTAAAAAAAACACACAAAAAAAGAAGCCAAAATGACATTTTTAATCAAATCCAGAAACTGTGAAACAGAGTCCTTAAACTACTCAAGTATAATATGTTGTAATGTCTGGAAACCAAACCGAATCTTAGCTTAAAAGTCTGATATTTTATCAAAATCACTTTATTGTATGTATCTCATTTAAAATTCACCCAGAATGAAGCATTTGCATGAACCAGATTCTGCAAAAAAAAAACAAGAAATTCTGCCTTCTCAGTGCAACTATAAAGCCATTAGTGACTCAGCTGCTACCAACAGTCACATAAGGAAAATTCAGACTTTTTGGTTGAATTGCGAGCTGTGTTCAGCACAAACATGGAAAACAAATTTAAAATTTACATAATGAAATATCTGTAGTATGTAAAGCCACATTTCCCCAATATTGGTAGCAGCTGTGGGCACTTGGAGAAATGCTGAAGCCCGATTTTTGTTTTCCAATTTTTTATGTAAATAATTAAAGAAATTCAAGTTTTGTTTCTGCTTTTTAAATTATTTATGGCATTCTAACTGTATCAGGCTGCACAGAAGACATTTCTGAGTTCTCTCTCCTTCTAGTCATGGTTGGTCTGTTTCCATAGAGGTGCAGGACTTTATGTTGCAGTGAAAAATGAGCCCACAGTAACTGAAAATGTGATAGGAGCAAAAAAATATACCCAGAAACTGCTCTGAATTCAGAGGGTTAAAGGACAAGTCGATGTTTTTCTCTGCTTACTCTGCAATTATCTGTGACTCTCAGCGCCAAGGCCTCCAGTTCCTACTGAGGGTGTACATCTCAAAAATACCTTATTTCATTTTTAAAAAGTCCTCAAAACTTTCCCAAAACTGCTGGAAATTGTCTGGTTTTGGGGAAACATTTTTTATTGGGGGCTGCAAGGTGGCTCAGTGGTTAGCACCGTT